TCATTTCCTTCCTTCTTTTAGCTTTGGGTCTGTGTTGTTCTTTTTCTGGTTTCTTAAGTTGTAAAGTTAGGTTGTTTGTGATCTTTCTTGTTTTTTTTTTTTTTTTTTTTTTGCGTTATGTGGGCCTCTCACTGTCGTGGCCTCTCTCGTTGCGGAGCACAGGCTCCGGACATGCTGGCTCAGCGGCCATGGCTTATGGGCCTAGCCGCTCTGCGGCATGTGGGATCTTCCTGGACCAGGGCACGAACCCGTGTCCCCTGCATCGGCAGGTGGACTCTCAACCACTGCGCCACCAGGGAAGCCCCTTTCTTGTTTTTTAACATAAACATTTATAGCTATAAATTTCTCCCTTAGCACCACTTTCTCTGTCTCATAAGCTTTGGTATGTTGTATTTTAGTGTTTGTTCATATCTGAGTTTTTTCTAATTTCCCTTGTGATTTCTTCTTTGATCCATTGGTTGTTTAAAACTGTGTTGTTTAGTTTCCACAATTTTGTGAATTTTCCAGTTTTCTTTATGTTATTGAATTCTAAGTTTATCTTGTGGTAGTCAGAGAAGATACTTTGTATGGTATCTCTCTTTTTAAATCTATTGAGACTTAATTTGTGGCCTAACTTATAGACTTTCCTGGAAAATGTCCCATGTACACTTGAGAAAAATGTGTATGCTGTTGTTGTTGGGTGGAATGTTTCTTACATGTGTTACGTTCCTCAATTACTTCTTTCTGGTTGTTCAATTCGTTATTGTGAGTGGGGTCTTGAAGTCTCCAACTATTAATGTAGAATTGTCTATTTCTCTTTTCAATTTTGTTAACTTTTGCATCATATATTTTGATGGCCTGTCATTAGGTGTGTAAATGTTTGTAATTGTTATATCTTCTTGCTGTATTGAGCCTTTCATTAATATATAATGTTCTTTTTTTGCCTCATAACCTTTCTTAAAGTCTATTTTGTCTTAAATTAGTACAGCCACTTCTGCTCTCTTTTGGTTATTATTTGCATGGCATATCTTTTTCCATCCTTTCACTTTCAACATCCTTGTGTCTTTGGATCTCAAGTGAGTCTCTTATAGAGAGCTTTAGAGTTGGATTGTGTATTTTTATCCATTCTGCCAATCTCTGTCTTTTGATTAGAGAGTTTAATCCATTTACTTTTAAAGTAATTACGTGTTAAGGAGGGGCTGACTTCTGTCATTGTGCTGTTTCCTGTATGCCCTCTAGCTTTTTTGTCCCTCATTTCCTGCATTCCTGTCCTCTTTTGTTTTCAGTTGATTTTTTTTTTGACAGCAAAATGTTTAAATTCCTTCTTAATTTCCTTTGTGTATATTTTAAAGCTATTTTCTTTGTTGTTCCATGGGAATTACATTTAACATCTTAAAGTTATTACATTCAAATTGGATTTTTTTTAACATCTTTATTGGAGTATAATTGCTTTACAATGGTGTGTTAATTTCTGCTTTACAACAAAGTGAATCAGTTATATATATACATGTGTTCCCATATCTCTTCGCTCTTAGTGTCTCCCTCCCTCCCACCCTCCCTATCCCACCCCTCCAGGTGATCACAAAGCACCAAGCTGATCTCCCTGTGCTATGCGGCTGCTTCCCACTAGCTATCTACCTTACGTTTGGTAGTGTATATATGTCCATGCCTCTCTCTCGCTTTGTCACAGCTTACCCTTCCCCCTCCCCATATCCTCAAGTCTGTTCTCTAGTAGGTCTGTGTCTTTATTCCTGTCTTACCCCTAGGCTCTTCAAGACATCTTTTTTCTTAAATTCCATATATATGTGTTAGCATATGGTATTTGTCTCTCTCTCTCTGACTTACTTCACTCTGTATGACAGACTCTAGGTCTATTCACCTCATTATAAATAGCTCAATTTCGTTTCTTTTTATGGCTGAGTAATATTCCATTGTATATATGTGCCACATCTTTATCCATTCATCCGATGATGGACACTATGGTTGTTTCCATCTCTGGGCTATTGTAAATAGAGCTGCAATGAACATTTTGGTACATGACTCTTTTTGAATTACGGTTTTCTCAGGGTATATGCCCAGTAGTGGGATTGCTGGGTTATATGGTAGTTCTATTTGTAGTTTTTAAAGGAACCTCCATACTGTTCTCCACAGTGGCTATATCAATTTACATTCCCACCAACAGTGCAAGAGTGTTCCCTTTTCTCCACACCCTCTCCAGCATTTATTGTTTGTAGATTTTTTGATGATGGCCATTCTGACTGGTGTGAGATGATATCTCATTGTAGTTTTGATTTGCATTTCTCTAATGATTAATGATGTTGAGCATTCTTTCATGTGTTTGTTGGCAGTCTGTATATCTTCTTTGGACAAATGTCTATTTAGGTCTTCTGCCCATTTTTGGACTGGGTTGTTTGTTTTTTTGTTACTAAGCTGCATGAGCTGCTTATAAATTTTGGAGCTTAATCCTTTGTCAGTTGCTTTATTTGCAAATATTTTCTCCCATTCTGAGGATTGTCTTTTGGTCTTGTTTATGGTTTCCTTTGCTGTGCAAAAGCTTTGAAGTTTCATTAGGTCCCATTTGTTTATTTTTGTTTTTATTTCCATTTCTCTAGGAGGTGGTCAAAAAGGATCTTGCTGTGATGTATGTCATCGAGTGTCCTGCCTATGTTTTCCTCTAAGAGTTTGATAGTTTCTGGCCTTACATTTAGGTCTTTAATCCATTTTGAGCTTATTTTTGTGTATGGTGTTAGGGAGTGATCTAATCTCATACTTTTACATGTAGCTATCCAGTTTTCCCAGCACCACTTATTGAAGAGGCTGTCCTTTCTCCACTGTACATTCCTGCCTCCTTTATCAAAGATAAGGTGACCATATGTGCGTGGGTTTATCTGTGGGCTTTCTATCCTGTTCCACTGATCTAGCTTTCTGTTTTTGTGCCAGTACCATACTGTCTTGATTACTGTAGCTTTGTAGTATAGTCTGAAGTCAGGGAGCCTGATTTCTCCAGCTCCGTTTTTCGTTCTCAAGATTGCTTTGGCTATTCGGGGTCTTTTGTATTTCCATACAAATTGTGAAATTTTTTGTTCTAGTTCTGTGAAAAATTCCATTGGTAGTTAGATAGGGATTGCATTGAATCTGTAGATTGCTTTGGGTAGTAGAGTCATTTTCACAATGTTGATTCTTCCAATCCAAGAACATGGTATATCTCTCCATCTGTTTGTATCGTCTTTAATTTCTTTCATCAGTGTCTTATAATTTTCTGCATACAGGTCTTTTGTCTCCTTAGGTAGGTTTATTCCTAGGTATTTTGTTCTTTTTGTTGCCATGGTAAATGGGAGTGTTTTCTTGATTTCACTTTCAGATTTTTCATCATTAGTGTATAGGAATGCCAGAGATTTCTGTGCATTAATTTTGTATCCTGCTACTTTACCAAATTCATTGATTAGCTCTAGCAGTTTTCTGGTAGCATCTTTAGGATTCTCTATGTATAGTATCATGTCATCTGCAAACAGTGACAGCTTTACTTCTTTTCCAGTTTGGATTCCTTTTATTTCCTTTTGTTCTCTGATTGCTGTGGCTAAAACTTCCAAAACTCTGTTGAATAAGAGTGGTGAGAGTGGGCAGCCTTGTCTTGTTCCTGATCTTAGTGGAAATGCTTTCAGTTTTTCACCATTGAGGACGATGTTGGCTGTGAGTTTGTCATATATGGCCTTTGTTATGTTGAGGAAAGTTCCCTCTATGCCTACTTTCTGGAGGGTTTTTATCATAAATGGTGTTGAATTTTGTCAAAAGCTTTCTCTGCATCTATTGAGATGACCATATATTTTTTCTTCTTCAGCTTGTTAATATGGTGTATCACATTGATTGATTTGCGTATATTGAAGAATCCTTGCATTCCTGGGATAGACCCCACTTGATCATGGTGTATGATCCTTTTAATGTGCTGTTGGATTCTGTTTGCTAGTATTTTGTTGAGGATTTTTGCATCTATGTTCATCAGTGATATTGGCCTGTAGTTTTCTTTCTTTGTGACATCCTTGTCTGGTTTTGATATCAGGGTGATGGTGGCCTCGTAGAATGAGTTTGGGAGTGTTCCTCTCTCTGCTATATTTTGGAAGAGTTTGAGAAGGATATGTGTTAGCTCTTCTCTAAATGTTTGATAGAATTTGCCTGTGAAGCCATCTGGTCCTGGGCTTTTGTTTGTTGGAAGATTTTTAATCACAGTTTCAATTTCACTGCTTGTTTTTGGTCTGTTCATATTTTCTATTTCTTCCTGATTCAGTCTTGGCTGGTTGTGCATTTCTAAGAATTTGTCCATTTCTTCCAGGTTGTCTATTTTATTGGCATATACTTGCTTGTAGTAATCTGTCATGATCCTTTGTATTTCTGCAGTGTCAGTTGTTACTTCTCCTTTTTCATTTCTAATTCTATTGATTTGAGTCTTCTCCCGTTTTTTCTTGATGAGTCTGGCTAATGGTTTATCAATTTTGTTTATCTTCTCAAAGAAGTAGCTTTTAGTTTTATTGATCTTTATTATTGTTTCCTTCATTTCTTTTTGATTTATTTCTGATCTGATTTTTATGATTTCTTTCCTTCTGCTAACTTAGGGGTTCTTTTGTTCTTCTTTCTCTAATTGCTTTAGGTGCAAGGTTAGGTTGTTTAATCGAGATGTTTCCTGTTTCTTAAGGTAGGCTTGTATTGCTCTAAACTTCCCTCTTAGAACTGCTTTTGCTGCCTCCCATAGGTTTTGGGTCGTCGTGTTTCCATTGTCATTTGTTTCTAGGTATTTTTTAATTTCCTCTTCGATTTCTTCAGTGATCACTTCATTATTAAGTAGTGTATTGTTTAGCCTCCATGTGTTTGTATTTTTTACAGATCTTTTCCTGTAATTGATATCTAGTCTCATAGCGTTGTGGTCGGAAAAGATACTTGATACAATTTCGATTTTCTTAAATTTACCAAGGCTTGATTTGTGACCCAAGATATGATCTATCCTGGAGAATGTTCCATGAGCATTAGAGAAAAATGTGTATTCTGTTGTTTTTGGATGGAATGTCCTATAAATATCAATTAAGTCCATCTTGTTTAATGTATCATTTAAAGCTTGTGTTTCCTTATTTATTTTCATTTTGGATGATCTGTCCATTGGTGAAAGTGGGGTGTTAAAGTCCCCTACTATGAATGTGTTACTGTCGATTTCCCCTTTTATGGCTGTTAGTATTTGCCTTATATATTGAGGTGCTCCTATGTTGGGTGCATAAATATTTACAATTGTTATATCTTCTTCTTGGGTCGATCCCTTGATCATTATGTAGTGTCCTTCTTTGCCTCTTCTAATAGTCTTTATTTTAAAGTCTATTTTGTCTGATATGAGAATTGCTACTCCAGCTTACCTTTAATAACATAGGAAAACTCTGCTCCTTCACAGCTCTATCCTGCCCCCCTTGGTTGTTGATGTCACAAAATTATAATTATAACTATAATTAATTATAACTGTGTGCCCTAAAACATAAACCAGTAATTCTTTTAGATGCATTGGTCTCCTGAATTATGGTAGAAGAGAAGATTTGGAGTTTCAGACCAAAGTTATAGTAATACTAGCTATTACATTAATAATTGTCTGTTTTCTTTAAATGTATTAGTTTTCTATATCATATAGAAAACAAAAAGTACAGTTATAAGCCATTGTTACAATAATACTAAATAATCACTCACATATTTATCTTTATTTAGACGTTTATTTTTCCACAGCTTTGAGGTACTGACCAGTGTGCTTTCTTTTCACCTGCAGGACTCCTTTGAGCCTTTTTTATAGGGTAGGTCTAGTGGTCATGAATTCCCTCAGCTGTTGTTTATCTGGTAATGTCTTGATTTCTTCCTCACTTTTGAAGGACAGGTTTGCCAGATTTAAGATTCTTGGTTGACAGTTTTTTTCTTTGAGCACTTTGAATATATTTGTCTACTTTCTTGTGGCCTCTAATGCTTTTGATAAGAAATCTACAGATAATCTTGTTAAGGATCCCTTGTATGTGATGATTTGCTTCTCTTGCTGCCTTCAAGATTTGCCCTTAGTCTTTTGAAAGTTTGATTATAATGAATTTCAGTGTGGATCTCTCTCAATTCATCTTACTTGGAGTTTGTTGAACTTCTTGGATGTTTACATTTTTGTCTTTCATCAGATTTGGGGAGTTTTCAGTCATTATTTTTTTCAAATATTCTCTCTTGTCCTTTTCTCTCTCTCTCGTCCTCTTGGGATTCCCACAGTATGTTGGTCCTTCTGATGGTGTCCCATGGATCTCTTAGTTTCTGTTCACTTTCCTTCAATCTTATTTCTTTCGCTTCCTCACCCTTGTTAAATTCCATTCTCCTGTCTTCAAGTTTACTGACTCATTCTGCCTGCTCAATCCTGCCTTTGTCCCTCTAGTAAATTTTAAATTTCAGTTATTGTACTTTTTTGCCCTAGAATTTCTTTTTTTGTTTCTTTTTAGGTTTTCTATCTCTTTATTGAGATTTATATTTTGTTCACACATCATTTTCTCAACTTTCTCCACATCTTCCTTTGGTTCTTTGATTACCTTTAAGACCAGTGTTTTAAAGTCTTTGTCTAATACATCTGCCGTTAAGGGACAGATTTTGTTGAATTATTTTTCTTCTTCTGAATGGGCTGTACTTTCCTGTTTCTTTGTATGTCTTGTGATTGTGGAGCCCTGGACATGTGAGTTTAATAATATGGTAACTCTGGAAATCAGATTCTCCTTCTTCCCGTGGGTTTGTTATTTTTTAGTATTGTTTTTGTTTTTTATTGTTATAGTCTGTGTCTGTGCTGATGATCAGCCTGAAGTGTAAATTTAATGTCTTCTTATATCTTTTCTGAGTCTTTCCTTGGGCATATGCAGTCACTTTCTAATTTTCCCCATATATGCAGTTGTTTTTTAATGTGCTAGTCTCTAATGTTTGGCTCCTCAAAGGGGAAAAGCAAAAAATGAATTGGGGAACTGAGGGTGGGGAGGGTGCTGGCCCTTTAAGTCCCCTGGAAATCACTTTAGCTTGACGGGAAGGCATTTACAACAGTGCGGGAAAGTGCAACAATGGCTGCCCATGTCTATGTCTGCACCTGTGTGATCAGAAGCAGCAATCAGAGTACAGATTCCCCAGTATTGGGGGGGGGGGTGGCGTGGAGAGAGTCCTTTTCACCCACTCTAGCTCCTACAAGATGTGTGTAAACCACTCCAGGAACATGTGCACAGCCATCTGCTACTGTGCTAAGAGCTGACATTGACTGCAGTTTACCCTGGAAGCTTTCCCCTGGAATCTTTCCCCTGGAAGTTGCAAGCCTTCAACAGACTCCGGAGTGAGTTCCAAAACTAGTTACATCAGACAGATTCTGCCAGTACAGTTATTGTGTATGTGGGGAGACAGTTTCCTGATGCATCCTACTCTGCCATAATCCCAGAATCCTCTCTCTTCTTTAGAGCAGGTTTAGGTTTACAAAAAACTTGAGAGGAAGATGTAGAGCTTTCCCAACCCTCTCTTCTCACACTCGCATTGCCTCCTCTCTTGTCAACGTCACTCACCAGAATGGTTCATTTTTTTTTTTTCACCAAGGAGAAACCTACACATTGACAAATTATTATCACCCAGAGTTCATAGTTAACATTATGTTCACTCTGTATTGTACATTCTGTAGGTTTGGAAAACTGTATAATGATATTTATCTAGCATTATGGTATTATATAGTGTATTTTCTTTTTTTTTTTTTAACTTTTAATTTATATTGGAGTATAGTTGATTTACAATGTTGTATTTAGTTTCAGGTGTACAGCAAAGTGACTCAGTTATAAATATATATATATATATATATATCCATTCTTGTTCAGATTTTTTTTCCCATATAGGTTATTATAGAATATTGAGTAGAGTTCCCTGTGCTATACAGTAGGACCTTGTGCTATACAGTAGGACCTTGTTGGTTATCTATTTTACTTATAGTAATGTATATATGTTAATCCCAAACTCCTAATTTATCCCCTCTCCCCACCTTTCCCCTTTGGTAACCATAAGTTTGTTTTCTATGTCTGTGAATCTGTTTCTGTTTTGTAAATAAGTTCATTTGTATCAGATTTGACATATAAGTGATATCATATGATATTTGTCTTTGTCTGACATACTTTACTGAGTATGATAATCTCTAGACCCATCCATGTTGCTGCAAATGGCATTATTTCATCATATTTTATGGCTGAGTAGTATTCCATTGTATATATGTACTATATCTTCTTTATCCATTCTTCTGTCAGTGGACATTTAGATTGCTTCCATGTCTTGGTTATTATAATCAGTGCTGCAGTGAACATTGGGGTACATGTATCTTTTTGAATTATGGCTTTCTCCAGATATATGCCCAGGAGTGGGATTGTTAGATCATATGCTAGCTCTGTTTTTAGTTTTTTAAGGAACCTCCATACTGTTATCCATAGTGGCTGTACCAATTTACATTCCCACCAACAGTGTAGGAGGGTTCCCTTTTCTCTACACCCTCTTCCACATTTATTGTTTGTAGACTTTCTGATGGCCATTCTGACTGGTGTGAGGTGATACCTCATTATAGTTTTGATTTTCATTTCTCTAATACTTAGCAATGTTGAGCATCTTTTCATGTGCCCCTTGCCCATCTGTATGTGTTCTTAGGAGAAATGTCTATTTAGATCTTCTGCCCATTTTTTGATTGGGTTGTTTTTTTGTTTTGTTTTTTTGATATAGAGCTGCATGAGCTGTTTGTATGTTTTGGAGAGTAATCCCTTGTTGGTTGCGTCATTTACAAATAGTTTCTCCCATTCTATGGTTGTCTTTTCATTTTATTTATGGTTTCCTTTGCTGTGGAAAAGCATTTGAGTTTAATTAGGTCCCATTTGTTTATTTTTGTTTTTATTTCCATTACTCTAGGAGATGGATCGAAAAAGATATTGCTGCTATGTATGTCAAAGTGTTCTGCCTATGTTTTCCTCCAAGAGGTTTATAGTATCCGGTCTTACATTTAGTTCTTTAATCTACTTTGAGTTTATTTTTGTGTATGGTGGTAAAGAATGTTCTAATTTCATTTTTTCACATGTAGCTGTGAAGTTTTCCCAGCACTACTTATTGAAGGGACTATCTTTTCCCATTGTATATTCTTGCCTCCTTTGTTGAAGATAAATTGACCATAGGAGTGTGGGTTTATTTCTGGGCTTTCTATCCTGTTCCATTGATCTATATTTCTGCTTTTGTGCCAGTACCATACTGTTTTGATAACTATAACTTTGTAGTATAGTCCGAAGTCAGGGAGCCTGATTCCTCCAGCTCCATTTTTCTTTCTCAAGATTGCTTTGGCTATTTGGGGTCTTTGGTGTCTCCATACAAGTTTTAAGATTTTTTGTTCCAGTTCTGTGAAGAATGCCATTGGAAATTTGATAAGCATTTCATTGAATCTGTAGATTGCCTTGGGTAGTATAGTCATTTTAACAATATTGATTCTTCTAATCTAAGAATATGGTATGTCTTTCCATCTGTTTGTGTTGTCTTCTATTTCTTTCATCAGCATTTTATAGTTTTCAGCATACAGGTCTTTTGCCTCCTATGTAGGTTTATTCCTAGATATTTTATTCTTTTTGATGTGATGGTAAATGGGATTGTTTCTTGAATTTCTCTTTCTGATCTTTCATTCTTACTGTATAGAAATGCAACAGATTTCTGTGTATTAATTTTGTATCCTGCAACTTTACTGAGTTCATTGATGAGCTCTAGTAGTTTTCTGGTAGCATCTTTAGGATTCTCTATGTATAGTATCTTGTCATCTACAGAGAGTGACAGTTTTACTTTTTTTCCAATTTGGATTCCCTTTATTTCTTTTTCTTCTCTGACTGCTGTGGCTAGGACTTCCAAAACTATGTTGACATCCTTGTCTTGTTCCTGATCTTACAGGAAATGCTTTCAGCTTTCCTTTTTTTTTTTTTAATTAATTTTTTATTTTATTTTTGGCTGCTTTGGGTCTTCGTTGCTGTGCGCAGGCTTTCTCTAGTTGTGGCGAGCGAGGGCTACTCTTCATTGTGGTGCACGGGCTTCTCATTGCAGTGGGTTCTCTTGTTGTGGAGCATGGACTCTAGGTGCGTGGGCTTCAGTAGTTGCGGCACATGGGCTCAGTACTTGTGGCGTGTGGGCTCTAGGGCATGTGGGCTTCAGTAGTTGTACTGTACGGGCTCAGTAGTTGTGGCTTGTGGGCTCTAGAATGCAGGCTCAGTAGTTGTGGCGCATGGGCTTAGTTGCTCGATGGCATATGGGATCTTCCCGGACCGGGGATCGAACCCGTGTCCCCTGCATTGGCAGGTGATTCTTAACCACTGTGTCACTAGGGAAGTCCCTGCTTTCAGCTTTTCACTGTTGAGTATGATGTTAGCTGTAGGTTTGTCATATATGTCCTTTATTATGTTGAGGTATGTTCCCTCTGTGCCCACTTTCTGGAGAATTCTTATCATAAATGGGTGTTGAATTTTGTCAGAAGCTTTTTCTGCATCTGTTGAGGTGATCATATGGTGTTTATTCTTCAGTTTGTTAATGTGGTGTATCACACTGGTTGATTTGTGGATATTGAAAAATCCTTGCATCCCTGGGATAAATCCCACTTGATCATGCTGTGTGATCTTTTTAATGTATTGTTTGCTAGTATTTTGTTGAGGATTTTTGTGTCTATGTTTATCAGTGATATTGGCCTATAATTTTCTTTTTTTCTGTGGTTTCTTTGTCTGGTGTTGGTATCAGGGTGATGGTGGCCTCATAGAATGAGTTTGGAAGTGTTCCTTCCTCTGCAATTTTTGGGAAGATTTTCAGAAAGATAGTGTTAACTATTCTGTAAATGATTGATAGAATTCGCCTTGGAAGCCACCTGGTCCTGGACTTTTGTTTGTTGGGAATTTTTAAATCACAGTTTCGATTTCAGTACTTGTGATTGGTCTGTTCGTATTTTCTGTTTCTTCCTGGTACAGTCATGGGAGTTTGTACCTTTCTAATAATTTGTCCATTTCTTCTAGGTTGTCTATTTTGTTGGAATATAGTTGCTTGTAGTAATCTCTTTTGATCGTTTTTATTTCCGTGGTGTCTGTTGTAACTTATTCTTTTTCATTCCTGATTTTATTGATTGGAGCCCTCTCCCTTTTTTTCTTGATGAGTCTGGCTACACATTTATCAACTTTGTTTATCTTTTTAAAGAACCAGCTTTTAATTTCATTGATCTTTTCTATTTTTTCTTCATGCTTATTTCATTTATTTCTGCTCTGATCTTTATGATTCCTTTCCTTCTACTAAGTTGGGTGTTTTTTTTTGTTCTTCTTTCTCTAATTGCTTTAGGTGTAAGGTTAGGTTGTTTATTTGAGATTTTTCTTGTTTCCTGAGGTGAGATTGTATTGCTATAAACCTCCCTCTTAGAACTGCTTTTGCTGCATCCCATAGATTTTGGATCATTGTGTTTTCACTGTTATTTGTCTACAGATATTTTTTGATTTCCTCTTTGATTTCTTCAGTGATCCATTGGTTGTTTCGTAGCATGTTGTTTAGCCTGCACATGTTGTGTTTCTTACAGTATTTTTCTTGTGATTGATTTCCTTTTTTAAAATTGAAGTATAATTGCTTTACAGTGTTTTGTTAATGACTGCTGTACAGCAGAGTGACTCAGGTAGACATATATACATTCTCTTTCATATTCTTTTCTATTATGGTTTATCACAGGATATTGAATATAGTTCCTGGTGCTATACAGTAGGACCTTGTTGTTTATCCATTCCATATATACCAGTTTGCATCTGCTAATCCCAAACTCTCAATCCATCCCTCTCTCACCACCCTCCTTCTTGGTAACCACCAGTCTATTCTCTATGTCTGTGATTCTGTTTCTGTTTCATACATAGGTTAATTTGTGTCATATTTTACATTCCACATATGAGTAATATCATATGGTATTTTTCTTTCTCTTTCTGACTTACTTCACTTAGTATGATAATCTCTAGTTACATCCATGTTACTGGAAATGGCATTATTTTGTTCTTTTTTATGTCTGAGTGGTATTCCATTGTATGTATGTACCACATCTTCTTATTCCATTCATCCATCGATGGACATTTAGGTTTTTTTCCTAAAAACCTAAAACATAGGTTTTGGCTATTGTGAATAGTGCTGCTGTGAACATAGGGGGTGCATTTATCTTTTTGAATTATAGTTTTGTCTGTATATATGCCCAGGAGTGGGATTGCTGGATTATATAATTGTAACTCTATTTTTAGTTTTCTGAGGAACTTCCATACTGTTCTCCACAGTGGCTGTATCAATTTACATTCCAACAGTGCAAGAGGGTTCTCTTTTTTCCACAGACTCTCCAGCATTTATTGTTTGCAGACTTTTTGATGGCTATTCTGACTGGCATGAGGTGGTACCTCACTGTAGTTTTGATTTGTGTTTCTCTAATAATTAGCAATGTTTAGTATCTTTTGATGTGCCTATTGGCCATATGTTTGTTTTATTTGGAGAAATGTCTCTTTTTGTCTTCTGCCCACTTTTCAATTGAGTTGTTTTTTTGTTGTTGAGTTTTATGAGCTATTTGTATATTTTGGAAATTAAGCCCTTGTCAGTTGCATCATTTGCAAATATTTTCTCCCATTCTGCAGGTTGTATTTTCATTTTCTTTATCGTTTCCTTTGCTGTGCAAAAGCTTGCAAGTTTGATTAGGTCTCATTTGTTTATTTTTGTTTTTATTTCTATTGCCTTGGGAGACTGATGTAAGAAATCATAACATACAATTTGTTAGACATTGTTTTGCCTGTGTTCTATTCTAGGAGTTTTATGGTGTCATGTCTTATACTTAAGTCTTTTAAGCCACTTTGAGTTTATTTTTGTATATGGTGAGAGGGTGTCTTCTAACTTCATCGATTTACATGTGGCTGTCCAATTTTCACACCACCACTTGCTGAAGAGACTTTTTCCCATTGTGTATTCTTGCCTCCTTTTTCGAAGATTAATTGACTGTAGGTGTGTGGGTTTACTTCTGGGCTCTCTGTTGTGTTCCATCGATCCATATGTCTATTTTTTCTTCTAGTACCATGCCATTTTGATTACTGTAGCTTTGTAGTATTTTCTGAAGTCTGGGATGGTTATTCCTCCTGCTTTGTTCTTTTTCTTCAGGATTGCTTAGGCAATTCTGGGTCTTTTACGGTTCCATATGAATTTTAGGATTATTTTTTTCTAATCCTGTAAATACATCATGGGTAATGTAATAGGGATCACATTAAATCTGTAGATTGCTTTGGGTAGTATGGCTATTTTAACAATATTAATTCTTCCAATCCAAGAGCATGGGATATCTTTCCATTTCATTGAATCATCTTCAGTTTCCTCTATTAATGTTTTATAGTTCTCAGCATATAAGTCTTTAACCTCCTTGGTGAGGTTTATTCCTAAGCATTTCATTTTGGGGGTTGCTATTTTAAAAGTTACTGTCTTTTTACACTCCCTGTCTGATAGTTCATTTTTGGTGTAAAGAAATGCAACTGATTTCTGTATATTCATCTTGTATCCTGCTGCCTTGCTGAATTCAGTCATTTATCAGTTCCAGTAGTTTTTGTGTGGAGTCTTTAGGGTTTTCTACATATAGTATCATATCATTTGAAATAATGACAATTTTATCCCTTTCCTTCCAATTTGGATACCTTTTATTTGTTTTTCTTGTCTGAGTGCTGTGACTAGAACTTCTAATACTATGTTGAATAGAAGATGTGAGAGGGACATTTTTGTCTTGTTACAGATTTTAGGGGGAAGGCTTTCAACTTTTCACCATTGAGTATTATATTGGCTGTGGGTTTGTCATAAACAGCTTTTACTATTTTGTGATATGTTCTGTCTATACCCACTTTGGTAAGAGTTTTTATTATGAATGGATGTTGAATTTTTTCAAGTGCTTTTTCTGCATCTATTGAGATGATTACATGGTTTTTGTCTCTTGTTTATGTGGTTTATCACATTGATTTGCATATGCAGAACCATTCTTATGAACTTGGGATGACTCCCACTTTGTCATGGTGTATGATGTTTTTTATGTGTTGTTGGATTTGGTTTGCTAATATTTTGTTGAGAATTTTTTCCATCTATATTCATCAGAGATATTGGCTTGTAATTTTTTTTTTTTTGGTGGTGTCTTTATCTGGATTTGGTATCAGGGTGATGGTAACTTCATAGACTGTCCTTGGGAGTGTTCCCTCTTCTTCAATTCTTTGGAAGAATTTGAGAAGGATTGGTATAAATTATATTTTGTATGTTTGGTAGAATTTGCCTGTGAAGCCATTTGGTCCTGGACTTTTGTTTGTAGGGAGTTTTAAAATTACATATTCTATTTCACTTTTAGTGATTGGTCTGTTCCAATTATCTATTTCTTCTTGATTCAGTTTCGGTGGGCTGTATGTTTCTAGAAATTTGTCCATTTCTTCTAGGTTGTTGAATTAGTTGGCATATAATTGTTCAAAGTATTTCCTTATTATTATTATTTTGTATTTCTGCAGTATCAGTTGTTGTGTCTCCTTTCTTGTTTCTTATTTTATTTGGGTTCTGTCTCTTTTCTTCTTGGTGAGCCTGGCCAGAGTTTTGTCAACCTTGTTTATCCTTTCAAAGAACCAGCTCTTGTTTGTATTGATTTTTTAAAAAAAAAAACTTATTTATTTATTTGGCTGTGCCATGTCTTAGTTGTGGCATGCAGGATTTTTGTTGCCTCATGTGGGATCTTTAGTTGCGGCATGTGAGATCTTTAGTTGTGGCATGTGGGACCTTTTAGTTGTGGTATACGGGATCTTTTAGTTGCGACATGTGGGATCTTTAGTTGCAGCATGCAGGATCCTTTTTAGTTGCGGCATGCGAACTCTTAGTTGCGGCATGTGGGATCTAGTTCCCTGACCAGAGATCGAACCCAGGCCCCCTGCATTGGGAGTGCAGAGTCTTAGCCACTGGATCACCAGGGAAGTCCCTTTCTATTGTTTTTTTAATCTTTATCTTATTTATTTCTTCTGATCTTTATTATTTCCTTCCTTCTGCTGAATTAAGGTTTTGTTTGTTCTTCTTTTTCTAGTTCTTTTAATTGGTAGGTTAGGTTGTTTGAGATTTTTCTTGGTTTTTGAGGAAGGCCTGTATTGCTATGAACTTCCCTCTAGGAACTGCTTTTGCTGCATCCCTTAGATTTTGTATGGTTGTGTTTTCATTGTCATTTGTCTGAAAGTATTTTTGAATTTCTTCTTCGATTTCATCATTGACTCATTGGTTGTTTAGTAGCATGTTGTTAAGTCACCATGTAATTTTTCTTTTTTTTTTCATTTCTTTTTCTGTGGTTAATTTCTAGTTTCATGCCACTGTGGTCAGAAACGATGCTTGAGATAATTTCTATATTCTTAAATTTGTTGAGGGTTGTTTTGTGCCCTAGTATGTGGTCAATCCTAGAGAATGTTCCACGTGCACTGGAAAAGAATGTGTATTCTGGTTTTTTTAGATGTAGTGTCCTGAAAATATCAATTAAGTTTAACTGTCCTATTGTATCATTTAGTATCTCTGTTGCCTATTGATTCTCTGTGTAGAAGATCTGTCCATTGATGTGAGTGGGGTGTTAAAGTCTCCTAGTATTATTGTATTTCTGTCAATTTCTCCCTTTACGTCTGTTAGTATTTGTTTTATGTATTTGGGTGCTCCTATATTAGGAGCATGTATGTTGACGAGTGTAAAATCCTCTTCTTGTATTGATCCTTTTATCATCATATGATGTTCTTCTTTATCTTTCTTTATGGACTTTAAGTCTGTTTTGTCTGATATGAGTATTGCCAGTCCCCCCTTTCTTGTCACTTCTGTTTGCATGAAATATCTTTTTCCATCCTCTCTCTTTCAATATATGTGTGTCCTTTGTCCTAAAGTAGGTCTCTTATAGGCAGCATATTGTAGTCTCTTGCTTTTTTATCCAGCCTTCCACTCTGTGTCTTTTGATTGGAGCATTCAGACCATTGATATTTAAGGTAATTATTTATAGATATGTATTTGTTGTCATTTTAAACCGTGTTTTCCCATTGATTTTATATTTCCTCTCTGTTCCTTTTTCTTTTTGTTTTTCCTTTTCTGGTTTGATGATTTTCTTTTGTATTATACTTTTCTTCTCTTCTTTTTGTTTTTTTGTGAATCTATTGTATGTTTTTGATTCGCGGTTACCCTGTTTTTCAAGTATGTTAACTGTATCTACTTGCCTTAGACTGGTAGTCATATAGGTTCAAGTATAGGTTCAAGTCATATAGGTTCAAGTCATATAGGTTCAAGTATAGGTTCATATAGGTTCAAGTCATATAGGTTCAAGTATGTTAATTGTATCTACTTGCCTTAGACTGGTAGTCATATAGGTTCAAATACATTCCAGGAAAAAAATTCTACGTTTTCTTACTCTCCTCCCCTACATTTTATGATTTTAATATTCTCTTTTACATCTTCATGTATATCTTTTTGCTGTTCATTGTTGTTATCATCACTTTCACAGAGTTTTTTTTGTGTGTGTGTTACGCAGGCCTCTCACTGTTGTGGCCTCTCCCGCTGCAGAGCACAGGCTCCAGACACGCAGGCTCAGTGGCCATGGCTCACGGGCCCAGCCGCTCTGCGGCATGTGGGATCTTCCTGGACCGGGGCACGAACCCATGTCCCCTGCATCAGCAGGTGGACTCTCAACCACTGTGCCACCAGGGAAGCCCTCACAGTTGTTTTTTGTTTTTTGTTTTTTTAATCTGTGTACTGTCTGCTGTCCTGATTGGGTGATTTCCATTTTTCTATCTTCCAGGTCACTTATTCATTCTTTTGAATTATTCATTCTGCTGTTCATTGCCTTTAGCTCAGCTTTCATATCTGCAAATATGTTTTCTAATTTTTCTTGGTTTCTCTCTATAGTTTCTAGTCCCTTTTTACAGTACTCTGCATTTCTGTCAATAGCCTTTCTTAATTCCTTCAGTATTTTTATTATCTCCTTTTTGAAATCAGTGTCTGTTAGACTGAAGAGGTCTGCTTCATTGTTCATTCAGGGGAATGCGCTGGGTCATTTAACAGGGAGTGGTTCCTTTGCTTCTTCATGTTACTTATATTTCTCTTACTCTGTAAGTTAAGGAGAAACAATTATCTACTGTGGTCTAGGAGAACTATGTATATGTGGTTTCATCCCTGTAGCTTGTGTGGGTTGAATAAATTTGGTGTGAGGCTGTTTTTAGTATGGATGCCTGTAGCCTCTTTTCTCAGCTTGTGCTGGTTGTTATCCCCTTGATAGGGTGTGTGCAGATGTGGTGGCTGGTGCCCGGTCCTGGGGTTCTCAGAGGTGGTAGTGGCTCAGACTCACCCTCAGGGCATGCGATGGGAGTGGATGCGACTTGCAACCACTCCTGGAGTCTGGGAGGGTGGTGGCGGGAGCCCATGACCACTCCTGGGATGTGGGAGAGAAGCAGTGGGGGCTTGTGACTGCTCCTGGCGTTTAGGTGGGCGGCAGTGGAGGCTTGCGACTGCCCCTGGAGCCCGTGCAGGCAGTGTCTTGCCCTCTGCATGCGTGCCCACAGGGAAAAAGGCTGCAATCTGGGTCCCACCCCTCCCCTTGTACATCCCCCAAACAGTGGTGACTGACCTCTATGACGTCCCAGGCTTCCTCGACATACACCCCCAGCCGTGGTTGTACTGGATTCCAGCACCACTCCCACCCCTGTCTGTCTCCACACAGCCATCCCCAGTCCTCTTCCCAGTTCTGATCTCCAAAGCCCGAGTTCCAGCACCCAGCCCTTGTCAGTTCTGGCAGACATGTGTGTCAGGCTAGGGAGCACAGGGTGGTGGCACTGACCATCTGTGAAGTTCTCCCTCTGCTCTGGCTGCCTCAAACAGGTTGCTGCGCTCTCCTCAAAGGCTCTGAAGCTCCCCTTCTATCTTGGCTGACCTCCGTGCCGGTGAGGGGGCTTCCCAGGTTGCAGGAACCTTTCCTCTTTCATAGCTTCCTCCCAATGTTGCAGGTCCCATCCCGATTCCTTTCTTGCTTTCTTTTCTTCTTTTTTTTCTTTTTTCCCACCCAGTTATGTGGAGATTTTCTTGCCCTTTCAGCAGTCTGAGGTCTTCTGCCAGCGTTCAGTAGATATTCTGTGAGAATTGTTTCACGTGTAGATGTATTTTTGATGTATTTGTGGGAGAGGGTGAACTTCACATCCTGCTACTCCGATATCTTGATCTCTCCCTGTGATCAATTTCTAATCTCGTAGAATTGTGGTCGGAAAAGCTGCTTGATATGATTTCAATTTTCTTAAATTTACCAAGGTTTGCTTTGTGGCCCAGCATGTGGTCAATCCTGGAGAATGTTCTGTGTGCACTTGAGAAGAACGTATATTCTGCTGCTTTTGGATGGAATCCTCTATAAATATCAGTTGAGTTCATCTGGTCTTATGTGTCATTCAAGGCCTGTGTTTCCTTATTGATTTTCTGTCTGGATGATCTGTCCATTGATGAAAGTGGGAGGTTAAGGGCTGCCACTGTTACTGTGTTACTGTTGATTTCCCCTTTTATGGCTGTTAGTATTTGCTTTATATATTGAGGTGCTCCTATGTTGGGTGCACATATAATTGTTATATCTTCTTGGACTGATCCCTTCATCATTATGTAGTGTCATTCTTTGTCTCTAGTAATAGTCTCTTTCAAAGTCTATTTTGTCTGATATGAGTATTGCTCCAGCTTTCTTCTGATTTCCATTTGCATGGAGTACCTTTTTCTGTCCCCTCGTTTTCAGTCTGTATGTGTCCCTAGATCTGAAGTGTGAGTCTCTTGTAGACAGCATATATATGGGACTTGTTGTTGTATCCATTTGGCCAGTCTATATCTTTTGGTTGAAGCATTTAATCCATTTACATTTAAGGTAATTATCAATATGTATGTTCTTATTGCCATTTTGTTAATTTTTTAAAATAAATTTATTTTTATTTATTTTGGGCTGTGTTGGGTCTTTGCTGCGTGCGGGCTTTCTCTAGTTGCGGTGAGTGGGGGCTACTCTTCATTGCAGTGCACGGGCTTCTCATTGCGGTGGCTTCTCTTGTTGCAGAGCACAGGCTCTAGAGAATAGGCTCAGTAGTTGTGGCGCGTGGGCTTAGTTCCTCTGCGGCATGTGGGATTTTCCTGGACCAGGGCTCAAACCCGTGTCCCCTGCACTGGCAGGCAGATTCTTAACCACTGCACCACCAGGGAAGCCCTTGTTAATTGTTTTGAATTTGTTTTTTGTTTTTTATTTTTGCGTTACGCAGGCCTCTCCCATTGCGTAGCACAGGCTCCAGACGCGCAGGCTCAGCGGCCATGGCTCACGGGCCCAGCTGCTCCGCGGCATGTGGGATCCTCCCAGACTGGGGCACGAACCTGTGTCCCCTGCATCGGCAGGCGGACTCTCAACCACAGTGCCACTAGGGAAGCCCTTGAATTTGTTTTTGTAGGTCTTTTTCCTTCGCTTCCTCTTTGTTCTCTTTTCCTGTGATTTGATGACTATCTTCAGTGTTGAGTTTGGATTCCTTTTTCTTTTTTGTGTATGTATCTAGTGTAGAGTAGATTTTTGGTTTTCAGTTACCATGGGGTTCTGATATAGTAGTCTGTATATATATGCAAGCTTGCTTTTTAAGTTTCTGGTTTCTTAATTTCCAGTGCATTTCCAATATCCTGCATTTGTACTCTCCTCTCTTCATAATTGCTAGTTTTGATATTATATTTGTGTGTGGATGATTTCCTACCTTTATTGTATGTTTGCCTTTACCAGTGAGCTTTCCCATTCATAATTTTCTTATTTCTAGTTGTGGCCTTTTCTTTTCTGCCTAGAGAAGTTCCTTTAGCATTTGTTATAAGGCTGGTTTGATGGTGCTGAACTGTCTTAGCTTTTGCTTGTCTGTAAAGCTTTTGATTTCTCTGTCAAATCTGAATGAGAGCCCTGCTGGGTAGGGTATTCTTGGTTGTAGGTTTTTCCCTTTTATTGCTTTAAAAATATCATACCACTTCCTTTCTGGCCTGCAGAGTTTCTGCTGAAAAATCAGCTGATAACCTTATGGGGATTCCCTTGTATGTTACTTGTTGGTTTCCCCTTGTTGCTTTTAATATTTTCTCTTTAATTTTTGTCAATTTGATTAATATGTGTCGATGTATTCCTCCTTTCCCATGTTAGGGAAGTTTTCAGCTATTAACTCTTCAAATATTTTCTCACACCCTTTCTCTCTCTTCTCCTTCTGGGACCCCTATAACGCAAATGGTGCATTTAATGTTGTTCCAGAGGTTCATCTAGTGTATTTTCACTGCCCTAAAAATCCTCTGCTCTATCTGTTCATCCCCCTCTAACTCCTGGCAACCTCTTTACTGTTTCCATAGTTTTGCCTTTTCCAGAATCATACATTTGGAATCATATATTTGGAATCATATAGTATGTAGCCTTTTCAGATTGGCTTCTTTCAGTTAGTAATATGCATTTAAGGTTGCTCCATTTCTTTTTGTGGCTTGATAGCTCATTTCTTTTTGGCACTGAATAATATTCCACTGCCAGGATGTACCACAGTGCCATTTATCCATTAACGTACTGAAGGGACATGTTAGTTGCTTCCCAGTTTTGGCAATTCTAAATAAAGCTTGCATCAACATCCCTGTGCAGGTTTTTGTGTGGATATAAAGTTTCAGCTCTTTTGGGTAAATACCAAAGAGTGTGATTGCTGCATAGGATGGGAAGAGTATGTTTAGTTGTGTAAGAAACTGCAAAACTGTCTTCCAAAGTAGCTGTGCCATTTCACATTCCCACCAGCAATGAATGAGAGTCCCTGTTGCTCCACATCCTTGCTAGCATTTGGTGGTGTCAGTGTTCTGGATTTTGGCCTTTCTAATAGGTGTGCAGTGGTATCTCATTGTTGTTTTAATTTGTATTTCCCTGATTGACATGATGTTGAGCGTCTTTTCATGTGCTTATTTACCATGTGTGTGTGTGTGTGTGTGTGTGTGTGTGTGTGTGTATATATATATAAAATTTTTTTGTGAGATATTTGTTAAAATGTTTGGCTCACTTTTTAATCAGGTTGTTTGTTTTCTTATTGTTTAGTTTTAAAAGGTTTTTTTTTAACAGTCGTTTATACAAATATTTTCTCCCAGTCTCTGGTTTGTCTTCTAATTCTCTTGATACTGTACTTCACAGAACAGAATTTTTTAATTTCAATGAAATCCAGCTTATCAATTATTTCTCTCATGGATTGTGTCTTCGGTGATGTGTCTAAAAAGGCATCCCCACACTCAAGGTCACTAGGTTTCTCCTGTTATTTTCTAAGAGTTTTATAGTTTTGAATTTTACATTTAGGTCTGTGATCCATTTGGAGTTAATTTTTGTGACAGGTGTAGGGTCTGTGTTCAGATTCATTTTTTTTTGGTTTTGGATGTGTACTTGTTCCAGTACCATTTGTGGACAGATTTTCTCTGCTCCATTATAGTGCCTTTGCTCCTTTGTCAACGATCAGCTGACTATATTTATGGGGGTCTGTTTCTGGGCTCTTTATTCTGTTCTGTTGATCTATTCAACTGTGTGTGTTTCACCAGTACCACGCTTAGACATCTTTTTTAAAAGTCACAGTGGAAGTAAGCCTTGGTTTTGGCTGTGGTAGGACGTCCAGGCAGTTTCTTCTCTCTGAGCTTCAGCTCCAGGAGGAGGTTGGAGCTGAACTCTAGGAACTCCTAACATGCTGCTGTCGTGCTTCTCAAACTGCCTGGGGAAGGACTAGTTTTGTTTCATCTTTTGAACTTCCAGTCTGCTGCAGACTTTTCCCTTTGTAGAATACAATAAAATGACTTACTAGGAAATGCAAATGCTCGTGTGCTTGTACGGTCATAGTACTGTCAAATCACTATACAAGGTTCTAAAGTCTCAGTTTCTGAACTTGCTTTGTCACAGACTGCTACGTGGACCGCACTTTGGTTATACTGTCCTGCACAGTGGGTGCAGGTTGGAGAGATGCCTACCTGTCTAGCCAGAGCTTCTTGGGAGAACAGGAGCTCAGCTGGGGTTTGGGAATTGGCTTGTTCCAGGGAATGTGGTTGTCAGGAGGGGCTCTTTCTTATCTCCCATGGGATCAGACCCCTTCATGAGCCCCAGTCTACCCCCGTCCTCTTTTTTCAGCATATTCCTCACAGTGACCCCCTCCCATGTGAAGGCAGAGGGACAACTTGGGGTGGCAGGGGCCCTGAGAAGGGGCCGTAATAGTTGGCCTGGAGGGCCAAGGTTGGAGCAGGGCGCGCTGCTCTGGACGGGTCTGAACGCCATTTCTCAGGGCAGTAGGGAGAAGGGTGTGAGTGGCTGGTGGTGATATTGGCATGGACTCTGGAGCGTGTCTGAGAGTTCCAACTTTAAAACCCTGAGACCATAAGACCTTAGGACACTGGAATCTTCAAATTGTGGAGTCATGGGCTGTTAGAACTGGAAGGGACTGCAGGGGTCACGTTGTCGTCCGAGCTGAGCCGTTCACCTGCTCCTCTTCCCTGGCGCCTGGCTCAGATTGGAGCTACAGGTGTCTGTCCTGCCTTTAGCTTGGAGTCCTTGGGTTGCCACAATATGGGTGAGTAGAGGTTCTTTGGGTGCCCTTGGCTTACTCCAGGTGCCCCGCTCTGTTTGGAAGTTTCAGACACTGTGTGCTCCGTTTGACTGAGAACAACTCCCAGCCCTTGATGACCAAGCTGCAGTGGCTCTTCGCCTTCCTGGAGCACAGCCAGGTGAGCGCAGGGGGAGTCGGGGATGCTGCAGAGGAGGCCCGGTCCGACCCCTCCCCTTCCCCACGACCTGCCTGCATCTGGCTGTGGGCCCCCACTTTCTGGCGTGAGTTGTTGGGCCCCAGTCCAGGCTGGCATGGGTTCACGGCTAAAGCCCAAGGGGCCGATTCAGCGCCCTTACCGGGCAGGCGAGGGAATACCTCCTGAGCCCCTCTGTGCTGCGCTGCCCACATCTCTCCCAGCAGTGGTTCAGTCCATTCTATCAGGTGTTGCTTTGTTGGTCTGCTGGCATTTTTGAGCCCTCATATTGCCTGCCGGGCACCCTGAGGGCTGTATTTGTTTTAATCCCTGTCTCTGCCCTCCTGGAACCTAAAGCCCTTGGCCAGGCAGGCATTATGCCAGGCCCTGTGCGGGGGCACAGAGATGAGTCAGCCACAGCCCTGCCTCCACGGAGCGCGTAGTCTGGTGGGGAAGAGGAACCTGCAGATAGCAGCGGTAGTGCTTGAGCAGAGGGAAACGTGAGTGTAGTGCGCGTATTAGGGAGGAAGGGTTGATCATGATGGGCATGGGGGCTCTTGGGAAGACACTGTGGGACAGGTGACACTAACTGCACCTGGGACTTGAACTCTACAGCTAAGCTCCTGACAGGGGAGAAGGGTGTTTCAGGCAGAGGGGATGTCAACGAACAAGGGCCTGGAGTGAAATGTGAGGTGTGTCCGGGAGGAGCAGACTCCCGGAGGATCGTTCACCTCCGTGACCCGACGTCCTGATCATAGGCTGCGTGGCCTTGGTGGGATGAGTCAGGGAAGGGGGAGGACTTCAGTGGGGAGGCTGGAAGTTTGGGGCAGAGAGTCCCCAGGGCCATCCTCAGGCCTAGCATACTGTGGCGCTGGTTGGTGAGTGGCCCTGGCTCCTGGCCCTGTCTTTCTCCCTCCTTGGTCCTAGCGGCCTGCCATTTCTCCAGAGAACTTTCTATCTGCATCCTGGACACCCTGGTTCAGCCCTGGCACCCAGCAGGACTGCTCGGAGTACCTGAAGTACCTGCTGGATCGGTAAGGGAGGCCAGGCCTGGCTCTGCACGGGGGCCTCCAGGTCTGGAGAGGGTGCTCGTGGGAAAGCCCCCTCCCCCTGGGCTGTGTTGTCTCTTCCTGGAAACGGGGGCACAGCCCTGCACTTGGGAAAGGCTTGGAGCAGATGTGTGTCGTGAGTGTGGGGACGGGGGCCGAGTGGGAGGGGAGTTTTGGAGATGCTGACGTGAGCCGTGACTGGGAGGGTAAGTGTGTGTATGTACACCATGCTGTGCTTGCCTGAGCGTGCACGTGTGTGTTTTCTCATCAGCTCTCTGGGGGCACATGCACGTCTTTTTGTGGCAGGTTTGTGAGCCTCGTGCAGGTAAGTATGTAGCATGTGTGCCTGGCTTATGAGTGCATGTGCACGGATGCCGTTTCGTACACGCATATGTATGTTCCCCGTGCCTTCTCCTGCATGCGTGTAAACACGTGGCCAGCTGAGTAAGGCAGATGCACAGGTCAGGCCAGTGCACTGGGGATGGGTCTGTGTATGGACGAAGGCCCTTTGCTCCCTGCACCAGGCTGCACGAAGAGGAGAAAACGGGGACGAGGATCTGCCAAAAGCTGAAGCAGTCCAGCTCGCCCTCCCCGCCCGAGGAGCCCCCCAGCCTGAGTCCAACCTCGGTGGAGAAGATGTTCGGGGGCAAGATTGTGACTCGGATATGCTGTCTCCGCTGCCTTAACATCTCCACCAGGGAGGAGGCCTTCACGGACCTGTCTCTTGCCTTTCCCCCGCCTGAGCGCTGCCGCCGCCGCCGCCTGGGCTCAGTGATGCTCCCTGCAGAGGACGTCGGCGCCCAGGACCTCCCTTCGCCATCGCGAGCCCAGGCGCCAAGCAGGGCGGCTCCTCGGAGGCAGAGGAAACACTGCATCACAGGGGACGTTCCCCCCACCGTCCTTAACATTGAAGGCCTGGGCCCCCAGGGCCCCGAGGGGCAGAGCAGTCAGGAGGAGGTGACAAAGGAGGAGGAAGAGGAGGAGGAGAAGGCGGAGAAGGTGGAAAAGGAGGAGAAAGTGGAGAAGGAGGCCGAGAAGGAGAAGGAGGCGGAGAAGGAGAAGGAGGCCGAGAAGGAGGAGGACGGCCTGGGCCCAGGGACCCTCAGAAATGCTTCTGCCCCATCTGGGGAGGGTTCCCGCTCGGTTCTGGACCTGGTCAACTACTTCCTGTCGCCCGAGAGGCTGACGGCAGAGAACCGCTACCGCTGCGAGTCGTGCGCCTCCCTGCAGGACGCCGAGAAGGTGGTGGAGCTGAGCCAGGGGCCGCGCTACCTCATCCTGACCCTGCTGCGCTTCTCCTTCGACCTGCGCACCATGCGGCGCCGCAAGATCCTGGACGACGTCTCCATCCCCCTGCTGCTGCGGCTGCCGCTGGCCGGGGGCCGGGGCCAGGCCTACGACCTCTGCAGCGTCGTGGTGCACTCCGGGGTGTCCTCGGAGAGCGGCCACTACTACTGCTACGCTCGCGAGGGTGCGGCCCGCCCAGCCCCGAACACAGGAGCGGCTGATGGGCCCGAGCCCAACAACCAGTGGTACTTGTTCAACGACACCCGGGTGTCCTTCTCCTCCTTTGAGTCTGTCAGCAACGTCACCTCCTTCTTCCCCAAGGACACCGCCTATGTGCTCTTTTATCGGCAGCGGCCCCAGGAGGGGCCTGAGGCTGAGCCCGGCTCTCCCCGAGCCCGGGCAGAGCCCACCCTCCACAAAGACTTGATGGAAGCCATTTCCAAAGACAACATCCTTTTCCTGCAGGTGAGCAGCCCCTGGGGGCGGAGGGGCTTCCCAGCACCCACCGGCTCAGACGGTGACGGCTCCTCTCTTGGAGTCTGTTCCTTTTTCCCTTGATCCACTCAGCTGTCACTCAGTGCTGGGGAAGATTGGTGGGCCAGACAGGCGTAGCCCCATACTTCAGAGGAACAGACATGAGGAATGATCAGTGTTTTATTAAGGTGTCATATGTGCTGGAGGAGGGGCTCTGTGAGTAGTGGATACGAGCAGATGGGGGGGCCGCCCGACTCACTGAGCCTCTCTGAGCCTTCGGCTCCACTCTGTAGAGTCAAGGCTGGTATCAAAATACTTTGCAGCTGAAACAGCCAGCGTGCGGACCAGCACGAGGGGTGCTGCCGCAGGCCGCCGGTGTGGGCACGTCAGGACCCCTGGCCAGCAGCACCTGCGTGCCGTGGGGACCCTGGCTCTGCTTTTGTGTTTCTGCCGAGCTGTCCAGGTGGAGGCAGGGCTGGGCCCGTGGTAAGAAGGCGAATCCACGGCTGGCCTCAGTTCAGCAGGAGGAAGAGCTTCCTCGCTGGCAGAGGGTTCCTCGTGCCCTGAGAGGCAGAGGCTGGGCAGCCACTCCAGGAAGCCTGCAGAAGGGTCCCTGGGGGCTATGAGGTGACCTTTGACGTGCACCTCCTGCTTTGTGGTGCCACGTCAGGCCCTTGTCAGCTGTTCACAGTCCAGTTAGTTAGTAGAAATGAGTTCCTTTCCTTCAGGGGGCTGGGAGGTTTTTTTTTTTTTTTTTGCGGTACACGGGCCTCTCACTGCTGTGGCCTCTCCTGTTGCGGAGCACAGGCTCCGGACGCGCAGGCTCAGCGGCCATGGCTCATGGGCCCAGCCGCTCCGCAGCATGTGGGATCTTCCCGGACCGGGGCACGAACCTGTATCCCCTGTATCGGCAGGCAGACTCTCAACCACTGCGCCACCAGGGAAGCCCTGCTGGGAGTTTCTATTCGGGGGAGGAGGAAGAATGCTTTGGAAGCCTAGATACAGGATGGCTCTGGGTCCGTCCCACCCATCCTCCCACTAAGCTGGAATGCCTCTAGGGCAGAAGCTGTGGCTCCTCTGCGCCTGGCCCTGGGGACTGGGGTGATGCTCGGAAGGGCTGGGTGGCATTGGGGGCGTGCAGGGAGAACTGAGGCTGCAGAGCCTGACTGACTGACCGTTAAGCTTCCGGCCCCATCCCCATCTGTATTTCCAGGAGCAGGAGAAGGAGGCGCGGAGCAGGGCGGCCTACATCTCTGCACTCCCCACATCTCCACACTGGGGGAGGGGCTTTGACGAAGACAAAGATGAGGATGAAGGCCCTCCGGGGGGCTGCAGCCCTGCAGGTGGCAGCGGTGGTGACTTCCACAGACTGGTCTTCTAATGGGAACCCTCATCCCCTGGCCTGCTAAGCACTTGTGAGGGTGCCACAGGCAACCTCAGTGGGGGGGACCCAGGTCCCGGGCAGAGGTGCTCGGCCAGGTGGGGTCTGAGGGAGGCTGCGCAGGTCCAGTCCTGAAGGCAGGCCCTTCCGAGGGCCAGAGAGATGGAGCAGGGGGGCTCCTGGGCCCCTGCCCTCAGCCCAAAGGGCACATGGAGATTCACTCAGATACGGAGGTGAGACCCAAGCCCCTTAAACCGGGCCTCAGGCCCCGACACTGGGATCAGCCCCGTTAAGACTTACTGACACCCAAGTGTCCTGGTCAGCTTGAAGCAGCTGAGATGGACACTCTCTGGGCCTTGTCCCCTACCCGCTGCAGGGTATCCCACAGGGCTGACCGTCACAGCGCTGGTGTTTTGCCATCAAGTAGCAGTTCCTTCCCAGCTCCTTCCAGACGCTCTTGTTTCTCTGTGGTGTACAAAGCAGAGGCAGAGCCAAGCCCTCGCACAAAGAAGGCGGCTGTGCGTCGCCCCTCTGGCCGCCTTCTGGTTTCTCTGAGGGGCCTGAGGCAACATCTGTGGGTGCCTACACTGTTTGTTTGTTTGTACTTTTTCTGAGAGGAGTGTAGGTGGGAAGCAGCCTGGCACAGGACCAGAGACTGTCCTCCCAACATCAAGCAACAACGCACAGAGGGGAGGACAGCCTCTTGAGCCTCTCTCCTGCCTCAGTGCCTGAGATGCCACCATTTGCATCCCCCTTCTGGTTAAGAGAGAGAGCGCGTCCTGAGGTTCCTGCAAGTACGTTTGTGTTTCTCACGACATTTGTCCTGAGGGAAGCTGGCTGGCTCAGCGCCTCAGCAGTTGGCCGTCACCATGGGGCCGGTCTGGTGAGGAGCAGATATTGACCTCATTGTGCCCTGACCCTGCTGTACCCCTTCTAAATGGAGAGAAGAGAACCAGGGTCTCAAACAGGAATAAAAACAGGTTCTCTGAAGCCTTTAAAGCCGTCGTTCTTCCCGCCTCAGTCACTGGCTGTGAGGTAGGCTCTAACCCTTGGTTTCTTGCTGTGTCTGGACAGGAAGGAGGGGACACCACCCCCTGCCCTGCTGACTTGTGTGCTGCCCCAGGGGAGGCAAGCATGCCCTACACTGAAGTGCTGTGTCACTCAATCAACAGTGAGGACGGGTGGTGGGGATGTGCCCAGATAGATAGGGGTGGAGGGGTGGGTGCACAGGCTGGGGGCCACCCTAACAGGATACTGTTAAGGGACTCTGTCAGGTGGGGCTGGAGCTCCTCCAGACCCCAGGAACTCTGGGCTGCTCAGAGACTGCTGCTGCTACCACATTCCTCCCTTCTTACCTCTGAGAATCTGGGGTGGGCTGGGCTCAGGCTGGGAGGAAAGTAGGCGGCAGCCCTCAGGTTCCAGCCATCTTGGAGCTTGGGACTGCAGTGGCCTGGCCGGGGGCTTCAGGGGCTGCAGGTGGAGGAGTTTTGGCCCAAAAGCCATAGACCCTTGAGACCTCAGGGACCAGCGAAAGTGGGCCGACAGTCGTCTGTCTGTCAGAGACAGAGTCAGTCATGCTCAGAATTCATCTCTTTGGTCCATCGAGCCTCCTAAGAAAGATGAATTGGCAGATGTTACTACACTTTCCATTTCACGCACCAGGAGTACAATTTCCGAGGTAAGGAAGATTCACCAAGAAGGGTACCCAGTTATTTCCTGTTCACATGAAAGTGGAGCAGACTGGCACGGCGAGCCGGGATCCCAGTGTGCGTGCATTCCATCCCCAGCCCCCCCGGACGAGACACACTCAGCAGCCCTCCTGGTTGCGTCTAATGGACTTTATTGTTGTCCAGACCCAACACCATAGTAAAAAGGGACCTGCAAGCTCCAGGCCTGTACCATGTGTCACCACAGCGAAAACAGGACCCATGTGAACACGTTCCCACCCCTCCCCAGACCTACTCACAGGATAAATACGTGTTACAAATTTTTTTTAAAAAAGAAAACAGAATAAATTAATAACTTAAGTGATTAGGCACCAACAGTGATTTGAAAAATTAAATGTCAATTTTAAATGGTAAGAGGGCCAGAAACCTAAGACTGGGCTTCTTCCAGCCCATTTTCTCTTCCCGACAAAGCAACGATTCTGTGGGAAATGATTCTAAATTTCTAGACACATGTAACCAACAAACAAACACATAAGAACACACACCACCAAATATCACGTGACAGCCTGAATCTCCAGGGGGACCCCTCATCAGGCGGCCCACCTGGCCCCAAAGAGCCTGGTGCGTTCCGGAAGGAGGGGGCTTTAGAGCTCCCGCGCTCAGCCTCCTTCCCCCACGTTTTGCAGAAGGGCCAGAGGGGGAAGTTCGTGCTAGTTTCCCTCCTGCCCGGCACTCTGTTTCCAGAGCCCTGTCACAGGGGTGTGGGTCAGCTGCAGCTTGCGGCTGAGGCCTTAGCCCTGTGGCAGGTAAATCCCTTGAGAACAGCTGTGCTTCTGTCCTAGGAATGGGACCTATTTGAACGGTTTCGAATGTAGAAGTTACTGAAATCAGTCTAGGGAGGGGACGGGGTTAACTGGCCAGTGCTCTGGGTGCCGCCTATCCCTGGTGATCCAGACCCTCGAGAGAGAAGTTACAGAGCAGGGAGTAGCCACAGAAGAGGCCTCAGGGCCCTTCTTCACCAAGGTGGGAAGGAGACACAAGCTCCATGCCACTCCTTGCAGAGGTGGAGCTGGAAGCGGGCAAGAACGGCTGCTTCTCTGAGGAGCACCAAGCAGGACGAGGCCTGTGTGAGCTATGCTGGCTGACAAGGCATCCTGGGATCGCAGTCCTTGCCAGGCCACCAGGAGAGGTGGATTCTGACCCACTGAAGGCCAAAGGACCAGTTTTTTACACTGACCAGACGGGAATATTAGACACCTTGGTACTTGGGGCTTTTGAGCCAGTCTCTGCTCTCAACAGGCCAATTTTCTCTTCTCTTGTACTTCCTCCCGTCTCTACTCTCACCTCCACCCGAAGGGTTTGGGGGTTATAGGAACCAAGAACTGGAGGGAGGCCTCCTTGGTGGTTAGATTTGAACACCTCAGTCTCTCAAGACTCCACCCAGTTTCATTCACAACATGGCACATTCAGAAAATGCTGACATTATTAGGGTACCTTGCGATCAATAGGGGAGGATGCTGGGAACTGAGGGTACCAGTACCTGGGCCCACCTGTAGCCTATGGGGGCACAGGGGTGGCACCGTTCAAAGCTCTGCCACGTGAGACCCTTTGCAGAGGGCCTTAAAGGGGCACAGGGCTGGGCAGAGTGAACCACCAAACCCTGCCCAGGGTAGGCCACTGCCACCACCATTACCATTTCACCTGTGGGGACACCAAGGCATGGCCTCACTGCTTCTGAGAGGCTGGGCCCATACTCCCAAAGGTCTGTTCCCAAAGCACAAGGTTCTCTAAGTCTCTCTGTCCATCTTCCTCCACTGGATCCCAGCCTTGCCCTCCTTCCCCCTCTCAAAATCTGACCCTTCTTCCTCTAAGGCCCCTGTCAGGCACCCCCTTTTCCTAGAAACCACCTTCCCTGATCTCCACCCCTCCCCACTCCTGCCCCCAGCACCAACCTCCTAGAGAACAAGCCTCGATTTCTCTGCACACTGTCAGCATTTTAAGTGTCTCTCACGGCCATTACCAATGTGTCCCTGTCTTTTTTCTCATCGACTCTGACCTTCTCAAATACAAAGTCTGATTTAATTCCTGTGTTCTCAGTGCCTAGCCCAGGCGTGGCCATAGCAGCCATTAATGAATGCTTATTGAATTGATGTGACTAATACTAGGAGGAAAGGGGCTACTGTTGAGAAAATTTCTCCCGGGATGGAGTAAGGTCAGGCCGCAGGCCTGGGGTGTGCGTGTTTACACAGGCTCACAGGAGCAGAAAGGTGAGCGGTAGCCACCTCCCTTAAATAGGGTGGGAAGTCATTTTTTTTTCTTTTTTTGGAGGGAGGAAGGTCTGTTCACCCCAGGGTAGGATGAAACATTTGGTCTACCCACGTTGCCTCTGAAACTCTTAAAAATTTGGCCAAGAACTTTAACATAAAAGAGCCCCCCTCCCCAGACTCAGGAGAAAAGAGCCTGGCGTGATGCCCTTCCTCCTGTCCCTGGCAAAGGTGGGCAGAGGGTGATGCTGATCTGGTGGCCTTTTAAGCCATGGGAGGAGAGGCCTGCCCTCTCCTGTCCCTGTAGCTAGGCACCTGGGATTCGACAGGGCAACAGAGGGTGACGTGAGCTGAGAACACACTCTGGCCTGTCACCAGGCCACACTTGTACTTCCTTGGGACCTGACACAAAACTCAACCAAACGGCACAAGCTGCCGGCCACTCTCCCGCGTCCTCCACTAGGCTCTGTTCCGCTCTGCTTGCTCCTTTGCCCTGCTCTGCCCGCCACCCATCAGTCCTGGGAGCTGCCCTCGCCTGCGGCCATGCACATCGCTCCCCTGACCACCACACCAGTCCTCACGTTCTGCTCCACCCTGCATCTCCACGGCACTGCCCGGCTCGCCACCAGGCCCTCCGGATGTACTCAACCACTAGCTGCGCCTCCCCCACCCCCAGCCTTCGCCCCGCCTCTCAGCCCATCGGTTACCGGCGCCTCCCCTGCCGCACTGCCCATCTTGCAGAAGCTCACTTGCTGCAGCGCCTCCACTCCAGGCCTGGGCGCCGCCCTGTGTCTCCACCCAGGCCGTCCCAGGGTGGCCCCTCAGTCGTCCCCCCCCCCTCCACGCACAGTGCGTCGCCTTCCCACAGCTCCGCCGGCCCCCCCACCACATCGGCGCTCCCACCCCACGCGCTGCACCGCCCAGCACAGTCCGAGCCTCGTGGGTGCGGCGCTCTTGGCTGGGTGGGGTCTCGGGGAAGAGGACTACGCTCTGTCCCAGAGTGGCAGAGCCGGGCCTCTGGCCCCACAGTCCCGGGGGCCCGGCCCTGCAGTGTCTTCGTCACCCCATCTCCTGCTCCTTGTTCTGGGTTGCCCATCATCCTGTCTTCCCCTCCTGCTGTCCTTCTCCTTCTGCCTCTCCCACCCGGCAACAGCTGCACTGCCACTTGGCCTGAAAATGGGGGACCACAGCAGGTACCCACTGCCCTTCTGCATCTGGGGGTCTAACTCCTTTGTCCCTCAAGACCACCTCTGACCTTCCTCCTCAACTCCTTCATCTTTTGGTGGCCTTGCCTCTCCCCTGCCAAGAAAGACAGGGCTGAAGAAGTCTGTATCCACCTTGGTCCGCTGGTCCTTGGCTCCCTGGGTCAGCGAGACGACTTGGCTTCTTCCGGGACTGGGGGAGAGGTAGGCCAGTAGCGGGAGGGACAGG